TGAAGCAAGAGGTTTTTATTTCTTCCATTTCAAAGCATTCCTGCTCCCAGGATCTCTGTAACTGTTTATGCATAAGCAGGGGAAAAACCCCAGCTTGACTTTCAGATCCCAGGCTAAGTTTGCAGGATTGGCAGTTTAAAAAAGCCATCTCTTTCTATGTGACCTGAGCAAATGGGTTTTGTGATCTGTAACGTGACCATGCCGTGTTATTTTTCACCACTTTTGGGAAGTGAGCTGCTCTCTCGTAGAAGCTGGAGCTGTGTGCAAGGAGTGGACAGCATTTTTGCTATTAATATGCTGTTCTTATTTTTAGGCAGCACATTTTGTTTGACTACCATCGTGTGACCCATCACAGTAATCTAGCACCAGATGTATGGTGTAGTGGGAGACTGTGAAAGTGAAACTTTTAATCCTTCCCCTGTAGTCTAGACCTCCTGGCTCTGGTTTCTCCATGATGCATCCTTTTCACTCCTGTTTGTACAAGTGCGTAGAGATACATCTGTCTGGCAAGCCCTGCTCTTTGAAACATCAAGAATAGAGTGAGAATTCTCACAAGGCCCATCACTTAGCACTCATCTCTCAACTGAGTGTCTTCAGACAGATGAAAAGTACGCTTAAGAAGACTATGTCCCACCCAGGAGCAATGATGGCTTTGGTTATCAAAGGAAAAAAGAGGCAGCTGAAATTTCTTGAAGCATGAAAAACACTGTCTTGTTTTGATCTCAAAAGGCCAAGCAAACAGATTACAATTTCTCAGAACACTGACTTCAGAGCCCAGAATAACCAGGAGGATTCAGCCTGAAGGGCAACTCTTCAGAGGGGTAGAAGGAAAAGCTGTGACGTGCCTGAAAATAGGGGCTTATGAAAGTGCCTCCAACTAAAACTACAGTACTGGCGTAGTACAGTCTCTCCCAGGCTTAACAAGGACTGGTGTGGCATCTACTAGTGAAATCTCCTTATGTGCCAACCAGGATAGGATTGTAGGAAGTCTTATAGCCAATCATTTTTCTACCCTCCCAGAGGGGCCGGCACCAGCTGGCACCGCAAGTTGGAGGAGAGCATTCTTGCTGCTGCCTCAGCTGATGGTCACAGTCCTGAGGCCACAGGAAGTCTGCAAGAATTTCTATTTTAAATGCCCCAACCACATCTCCAACTCACCTGTGGCACTAACTTTGGCTGTTGTCTTCTTCAAGTGGCTGTGGGACATCAACAATGTATCCAATGTGGGGTGGAGGTAAACCAGGTCTGGGCTGTCCTGCAGGCGTGGACCATTTAAGAAAATCTTTAACTCGTAGCTCGTGCTTGCATTATGCAAATCAAATATGCTAGAAATTGTCTTGGAAAAGCTCAGCTACAGGTGCCATTGACTATAGTAGCCTGCCATGAGCTTCAGATCATCAGTCAGGACCTCGTCTCACTCATCTTCTTTCAGTCTGAGCTGGTCATCAGGATCAGGGATCTTGAAGATTCTGGGCATTACCACCACTCTTGTGCAGAGGACGAGATATGGCCCAGGAGCTTGTAGCAGGACTGCAGGTTTTCTGTCACGACAGTAGGGGCAGTCAGAGATCAGGCTTGGTCACCTCTGACATTCCTACTTTCCTCACACAGAGTGCTGTCTGCCCATTGTTTGCTGGGCCAGGCTTTTGCCAAGGACCATGTAGTGTTCTGCGTTCCATGGTACATTTGCTGGAGGACCAGTTCCTGGCAGCAGCCATGTGGTCTGTGAAAACCTGTTTGGTCACAAACTCACTGCAGTCTGGCAGCCTCGCATACCTTAGGAGTTAGAGAATTCATATAGCAAAGCAGCCCAGTGTTTGCCCCTGGGTAACTGCAGGCTGAAGAGGTATTCTAAAAAAAGGTCATAATTCAAACAGTAGGGTCTTCCACAGCTTCAGTCCTCAGCTATGAAAACTCCACTGGACCAATAGCTGGCTCTTTCAGCTAAAGCCAGAGTCCTTTTCCTGCCAGACTGGTTCTCTGAGAGTTGATAGGATAGCCTAACTGATGTGATTACCAATGGGTAGCTAGAACACACATCTATAGCTTTGACAGCAGTAGGGGAGTGGAAGAACAACAGTGAGGGAAACACACAGCTCTTATATATGGGCTGAGCTCTGCAGGTCCTAGCACCTGCTACTGCAGCCCTTATGGCCTCACTTGGCAGCTGACTTTAACCTACCCTTTTCAAATTTACATCTCTGTCCATCTTACAGCAGCCCTTTCTCAACAGTGGCACTGGAGAACTAGCATGTTTCCTCTGAGCCCCTCCTACATTCAGCTTTCTATGTACACACTCCTCTTTACCATTACGCATTACATGTTTAAGATTTTTAGAGAGAGGAAGGGTGGCTCTGACTTTTGCATCCCTGTACAGATGAAACAGTGGGAAGGTAAATATGCACATTAGCTCTGAGAATCACGGATAGTCGCCTATTCAGCAGTTAAAGAGACTTTGCATGTTTCCAGGAAGTGGTGCTGGAACTTTTAGAGTGGGGATAACATCTGTCCACATCCCCCGTTGCTCCCTAGAGCTGAGCCATGGCTCCGGGAAGAGGGGATGTGGACAGTGGTAAGGGGGCCAAGGCTGGGTGTGGTTGTGGAGCCCTAGGTGCAGGGCTGGAAGCGGAGCCCTGCGTAAAACCTGGGGGTGCTGCAGCACCCCCTGCCCCCGCATCTCTAGTTCCCACACCTATGTGCCCAAGAGGAGGACATGTTCCTTCAATCAAGTTAAAAAGTAACACAAATGAAGGCACACTTCTAATGCAGTTCTTCAGTCACCAGGGCATCAAACTGATCATATTTAAAAATCATCCATCTAACTTTGGTGTAATAAGACAGCAGAAAGCTGATCTCCTGTGGATTCCTGATAACCTATGACCACTTTCACTACTTGACCCCCCACTACAGACAGGTAAACCAGCATGTTTTTCAAATCTTCTCCTGCCACCTGTCACACTCTGGCATTCTGCAAATCACAAGATGCATTCCCCCCCCCCCCGCAGAAAGCCACAAAAGATTGACCAGGAGTTCCACACTTACAGTCAAAAATAGGTTTAGTGGAATGTCTTTAGTCACAGCTGTAAGCAGCGATACTGAAAACACTTAGCTTGCACATCTCCATGACAGTACAGAACGTCTCTTGGTTTGCAGAACCTAATTGTTTTTTTAAAAAAACCATGAGAAAATGACATCCTTGCAATTATTCACAGAATGGTTAGATTCCCTTTAACATAATGCTACTTTCTTCCTCCTTCACTTGCATGAAACAACTGAGCTCCTACCTTCGGCAGCTGGCGGTAGGAAACGGTGTTTAAATTATAAATAACCTCATTACTACTTAACTATATATACAAATAAAATGTATTAGCAAGTAGCTAGTTCCAAACTGGGATTCCTGGAATATAGCAAAAAAATAGGGTTTGAGCATTCAACGTTGTTATAAATCAATGTATGTGAAAAAGGGTCATTTGGCAGTTCTCAGAATGCCCTAGTTAGAACTGGCTACTTGCCTCTTTTGCCATCTTGAAAAAGATCACCTCAGCTATATACATATGTTTCATTTAAATTACACAGCAGTTCTTATCATCCCAGAGCCGCTTCCACGGACATCTCCAGCCATCAAGTCAAGTGTGGTATTTCAGGATGATAGGTACTGTAAGAGAGGGAAAAAACAAAACAAGTCTTTAAAACCATACATATACAAACCTAACATCGATCAGTGTCAGAGCTGCAGACGAGAAAAAGAAAAGGTTACTCGGCTTGTGCAGTAACTGTAGTTCTTCCAGATGTGTCCAACCTATGGGTGCTCCACTTCTGGTGCACTTGCGCCTCGCAAGCCCTTGATCAGAGATTTTCTATTAGCAATGTCCGTTCAGTCCACACATGCATTCTATACAAGCTCGTGCTGCACTCCGGCATAGGGCTGTACGGGTGAACCACTCTCAGTTCCTTCTGTATTCGAACGTCCAACAAAAACGGAGGGGAAGGAGGACGGGAATGGAGCACCAGTAGGGAAACATCTCCAAGAACCAGAGTTATTGCACAAGGTGAGTAACCTTTTTATCCTTTTCAAGTGGCGTCCTAATGCACGCTCCATTAGGTGACTCCCGAGCAGTATCCTCACCAGGAGCAGGGGCTTCAGAATCCAGTGCAAGACTGAAGACGGTACAGCAGAACCAAGCACTGCATCAGATCCGATGGCATGAACCAAGGCATAGTGTTTAGAAGAGGCATGCACTGAGGTCCACTTAGCAGCTCTGCAGATCTCAGACACAGGAATGTTTCTGAGTAATGCTGTGGAACTTGTTTGTGATATGGTAGTATTATCCTTTGGGGTGGCAAAACACCAGCCGCATCATAGCAAGTGGTAATACACCCAGAGATCATCTCAAAAGTCTCTGTGAAGAGATCATGGACCCCTTTGATCTTTCTGCAATGAAGACAAGTATAGGTGATTTCTAAAGTTGCTTGGTCCAATCCAGATAGGAGGCCAATGCTCACTGTACATCTACTGTATGAAGGGAAGTCCCCTGCTGAGATTTATGTGGGTTAGGAAAAGGTACCAGCTGATGAATACACTGGTTAAGATGGAAATCCAACACCACCTTAGGTAAGAACTTTGGGTGTGGTCATAGTGAGACCTTGTCTTTGAAAAATATTGTAAATGCGGGGTCTGCCATCAAGATTCCAGTTTCTCCAACCCTATGGGCTGATGTGATAGCTACTAGAAAGGCCATCTTCATAGATAAGTGAAGCAAGGAGCAGGTTGCCATAGGTTCAAATGGAGGTCCCTTAAGGTATCAGAGTACCAGATTGAGATCCCAAGTCAGAGTAGGATCCTTAACCTGGGGATAAAGATTCCCCAGACCTTTAATAAATCTGAAGGACACAGGGTGCACAAAAGTAGAAACCCCTCTGGTGGGGAATGAAAAGCTGATATCGCAGTGAGATGAACCTTTGGGATAAATGATAAACCCAATTTTTTTAAAATCCATCAGATAATCCAAGACGGCCGACAGTAGAAAAGATTCAGGCACAAGGGAGTGATGGTGACACCAGTGGCTGAAACCTCTTCCATTTCTGAAGGTAAGTAATTCGAATTGACGCCCTTCTACTGTTTAGAAGTAAAAACAGTAGACTTCTACAGTACAATCAAAAAAGCTAACAGAATGTTAGGAACCGTTGGGAAAGGGATAGATAATAAGACAGAAAATATCATAATGCCACAATATAAATCCATGGTATGCCCACACCTTGAATTCCACATACAGGTCTGGTTGCCCCATCTCAACAACAACAAAAAGATACATTAGAATTGGAAAAAGTACAGAGAAGGGCAACAAAAATGATTTGTGGTGTGAAACAGCTTCCGTACAAGGAGAAATTAAAAAGACTGGGACTGTTCATTTTAGAAAAGAGACAACTAAGGGAATATAATAGAAGTCTACAAAGTCATGAATGGTGTGGAGAAAATGAATAAGGAAGTGTTATTTACCCCCTCCATATAACCCAATGAAATTAATAGGCAGAAGGTTTAACTCTAACGAAAGGAAGTACTTCTTCACACAATGCTCTGGAATTCATTGCCAGGGGATGTTGTGGAGGCCAAAAGTACAAATGGATTCAAAAAAGATTTAGGTAAGTTCCTGGAGGATAGGTCCATCCGTGGTTATTAGCCGAGATGGTCAGGGACGCAACCTCATACTCTGGGTGTCCCTAAACCTCCAACTGCCAGAAGCTGGGCCTGGACAACAGGAGATGGATCAATCAATAAATTACCCTGTTCTGTGTATTCCCTCTGAAGCACGTGGCACCAGTCAGTGTCAGAAGACAGGATACTGAGCTAGATAGAACATTGGTCTGATCCAGTATGGCCATTTTTATGTTCTTATAATTCGTAATTCTTGTATTCCTGTCGAGCAGGTGAATTCTAATCCAATGAGCCATCTAGGAGACATGCTCGTTTACAAGCATCCTCCACCAGTGGGGGTTGGAAAACAAAAATTCCCAGTCCTTCGGGAAACATTTTATTTTTTTATCTGCCCCATTACAATTTGGCAGTATGGTGGCAGGAGTTTGCCACGCAGTCTTTGCTGGAGCCAGGAATGCTTCATTAATGGGCAGTGCAACCCAAGTGAGTGTCGCCGACTGCAGAACATCCAGGAGCTTGTGATGTGAGTGTAACTTCCTCGAAAGGTATCTAGAGGGTGTCCACCACCCTTTTTACAAGGTCCTGGAATTGACTAAGAGCATCACCATCGATGGTGGAGGCATGTCTGCCTCAATTGGAGGTGAAGATGAAAAAAATAGGGGCCTGAGTGGTAGTCTTTTTGTACGCCCTAGCTTCCTGTCCTCAAAGGCCTCCTTGTGTTGGGGGTTTGGTGGAAGAGGATGTGGTACTCTAGTTTCCTGGTGTGGCGGAGCCAGAAATCTGGCAAATTGCTGCTGATAAGCTGATAAGCGGCCAGTGGGGAGGCTGATATGGGAGAAGGGTTGGTACCCAGGACTGATCCCACCATCCCAGGCATGGGCAAGGAGCTTTGTCAAAGTATGGGTTCCAGTAATGAGGCAGAAGGGACTCCTGCACTGATAAGGAGAAGACTGAATGTCTCCTTCATTCTCTGTAATGTCCTCCAGTGGGCCCAGTAAAAAAGGGTAGAGAATCTTGTGGTACCAGGGAGCACTGGTCATCCAGAGACTGGCATTTTGCTACTGAGAGTCATTTGGAACCCATAAAGAGCAGGGACACTGGTTCGTTTAACACTGATATGTCGCTGAAGTAATGAAACACCTGCGGTACCGAGTTGGTCAGTGCTGATGCAGCAGTTGGCTTGGGCAGTACTGTAGGTTTGCAGTGCATAGGCACCGGGGCTGAAGATGTGTACTTTGATTTTGTCAGTACCAACAGCGCCAAATGGGAAGGCACCGCTGGTAAGTTTGAAATAGACAGTGCTGATCTGGAGGCAGCTGATACAGGGGCCCTGCCAGTGCCGTGTTTCTCTGGGATGTCCCTGGTCCACTGGTACCAGAGGAGGAATCTTTCACCTCTCTGGTACGAGTCAAGAGTCAAGACTTCTGACACTGTAGACCTAGCACAAGATCAGGACTTCTTGGGAGTTGGCTGCATGGTGGGAGACCAAGCTCCTCCTCTTCAGAGCCTTCCCTGAATCCCCTGAGATCTTCCCGCTCTTAGGCGAGACCTTAGCTGAAGTCGAAGGGGCACTGGATCTGCCTGGAGAGAGATGTACGGGGCGGATGTCTCCAGACCTGACTTGGAAGTGAGTCAAAGGGAGCGCTCCACCTGCAGCAGCGTCAGTTCGGTTCCCCATTCTTCTGAGCTCTAGATTTTAGAGCCAGGCGATAGTTACACCTCTGGGAGATATGGGATTCTCACAAGCAACAGATACATTTAGAGAGGCTGTCGCTGATTGAGATAGCCTACTGACAAGAGACGCAGCATTTGAAACCTGGTGAGCCAGGCATGCCCCCTGGATAGTTCCTTAATTGTGTGGTCCTGACTGGCCAAATAAGTTCCCCAGAAAAAATGGGAGAGGAAAAACTGAAACCTCTCACAGCTATTTAACTAATTCTGTATTAACAACAACTAACCCTAATTAGAAACACGACATGAACTAAATAACTTCAAAACACACCGAGATGTGCACGAGGTGGACATGCTAGTGCTCTGTCTCAGGCCAAGGCAGGAGAGAAGGAAGTCAGAGTGGTGCTCCCACACAGCCCTGTATACCCTCAGCATGCAGCACAAAATTGTGTAGAGTGTATGTGCGGGCCAAATGGACACTGTTAACGGAAAACTTCCGATCCAGGATTAGGGAGGTGTATGTGCACCTAAGGTGTAGTACCCATACGGACACTACTTGCAGAAGAACCAGATTTCCTTAGTCAACCACGGGACCGCAAGTGAAAGTTTATTTCCTTGTTCAAATGGATTCAGTTTGCATCCTCCGCAAATGCTACAGGGACAAGACCCCCTGCCTTTTTCATCCATTTCCAACTCCCCAAACCAAACCTGATGGGATTGTCCGTCAACGTCACTCCAGTTGCTAGCATTCCAGCTGTTGGCTCTAACTTTCACTTCCTGACTGCACATTTCAGCAGGATATCCTTAGGGACTATTTCATCAGGTTTTTGCTTACTGCCAAGGCGGGGCCTTGCATAAAGCTACACCTGTACCACTGCTCCTGCATGGATGGGAGAATTTTCTCCCAAGGTCAGCAGCACAGGAAGGGCCTTGCTGTTGTGCGGCCTCCTGGGGGCCCCTTGTTAAAACTCAGCCATTCCTCTCAGAGGAAGGGTGGAATGACTTCTCTGCGTCAGAGGAGCGCTCTCTCTGGTTATTGTTTATGTCACTATAGTGCCTAGAGCTCCCATTGCACTAGGTGCTATAGAAAACATACAGGACAGGGACTTTGCACTCTAAATAGACATGACAGGCTAAGAGTAGGAGGGGAAACAAAGGCACGGAGAGGGAAGTGACTTGCCCAAGATCACACAGGAAGGTCGGTGGCAGAGCTTGGAATAGAACCCAGCTCTGAATCCCAGTCCTATACTCAAGCCACTGGCCCACACTGCGTGCCAGAGATTATTATACAAGCCCCTTTTGAAGGGAGCTTTGTCTCGGAATAGAAAAACTGCCATAGACTACAGGTATTTTCAAACATTTTCTGAGAGAAGGTACCCCAGACCCTTTGGGTCTTCAGTCCATCTCCCTTCATCAGACTATGCAAGCTGATCACGGTGCTACACGCTGAGTTTCCAGGAATAGGGTATCTCTTTTGTTGAGAAAGTGCAACTCCATCTCCTGCCTTGGTAATGGTTATTAGAAGGTCTTTGCTTAAATGAGAGATTTCCCACACACTTGCCTGTAATCCCAGCATGGCAGGGGTTCAGCACAGGCAAAGAGAGTCTCTGGTTAAAATATTGGCTGCATGTGACTGAACATCCCTAAGGAGCAAGACTTGGGGTCACTGGCAATTTCTGCTCAAGTGCTACTGATCAGGTCACATGGGATGGCAAGGAAGTTTTAAGTGTCTATTTTAACATTTACAGCAAACAAAATGTTTCAATGTAAAAAGAACCACCCACCAACCATGCAGGAAAGGGTTGTCAATACTTACTGATGATCACTAGCAAGAGGATGACAGCAACCAAAGCTACAAGGGCCTTCATCTGCAAGAGGAGTGCAAAGACAGGCAGGAATTACCTTCCTGACATGAGACCACATGTTTGGCTTGTTCTAAATTAAATGAGTCACCTTCCTGTTTAGATCCAGGACAAGATATCTGTTCCCCTATCCCAGAATACTGTTGATGCCACTCCACAGACCAGATGGAAGGGAGTGTATTTCAAACAAATCACTTTAGCTGACACCAATTCCTACACCAGCTCTCTGGTGTCTCTTGGTTTAGAAGACAGAAAGAAAGAGGGGAGTTTGGGGTAAGCTGCATACCTGATTTGGAAAAAGCAACCCAATAAATCAACACAAGAGTGTATATAGATGTGACCATATACAACATCTATCAGGCACTAGAAAAATGTTCCCTGATATCTCAAACGCCGGGGCCAAATTTTTTCAAGCCTAAGTACCTAAAGTAACACTCTCCCATGTAACAGTGGCCTGATTTGCAAAGGGTTGAAAATTCTGGCCTGAGTTAAACGCTCTCCCTCTGCTCTGTCATCCTGAATCACCTTTGGAGCAAAGCTTTCTGCAGAGGGAAAGTACAGGGCACTGCACCGCTATCCATCTCAAAGAGCAGAGATGGTGACTGGGTCCGAGTTATAGAATGACATTGATGGTCAACTGAATTACAGCCATGTGTGTGGGCACAATTGACATTAGTGCTACACACAGATGGAAACTGGACTAGAAGATCCTCAGCACAACTGGAGATGTAACACCATGTGCTGCTAGAATAGACATGACTGTTGTTTTCAGTTGGAAGTGCAGCCAGCCCAGACAAACCAACACCATGTTTAGTGGATACTCATGGGCCAAGGCTGTATTATTAATTACACATTTTAAATGGTGTCCAAGCACTCTGCACTGCATTGGAATTTCTTCTACATTGCAGATGAACACAAAGCCACTTGTTCATAGTTTATAGATTCTAAGACCAGAAGGAGCGCCATTGTGATCATCTGGTCTGACCTCTGGCATAACAGAGGCCATAAGGCTTCCCTGAATTAATTCAATTCATGTTTGAACCAGATCAGATCTTTTAGAAAAGCATCCAATCTAGATTTTAAAATTTGCCAGTGATGGAGAATCCACCACTCTCCTTGGTAAGTTGTTCCAAAGGTTAATTACCCTCAGTTAAAAATATGCACCTTATTTCCAGTCTGAATTTCCCTAGTTTTAACCTCCAGCCATTGCCCTTGTTAGACCTTTGTCTGCTACATTGAAGAGCCCTCTATTATCAAATGTTTGTTCCCTTAGAACAGCACAGTCCAGGAACACCCACGGTTCTGGATCATTATCAAGCAGAACCCGTCATCAGCATGGACGCATGTCCCGTGGAATGGTGGATGAAGCACGAAGGGACATATAAATCTTTAGCGCATCTGGCACATTAATATCTTGCAATGCTGGCTACAACAGTGCCATGCAAACGCCTGTTCTCACTTTCAGGTGACATTGTAAACAAGAAGCAGGCAGCATTATCTCCTGAAAATTGTAAACAAACTTGTTTGTCTGAGCGATTCGCTGAAGTAGGACTGAGCGGACTTGTAGGCTCTTAAGTTTTACATTGTTTTATTTTTTATTGCAGTTTTTTTGGTACATAATTCTACATTTGTAAGTTCAATTTTCATGATAAAGTTATTGCACTACAGTACTTGTATTAGGTGAACTGAAAAATACTATTTCTTTTGTTTTTTACAGTGCAAATATTTGTAAGCAAAAATAAATATAAAGTGAGCACTGTACGCTTTGTATTGTGTTGTAATTGAAATCAATATATTTGAAAATGTAGAAAACATCCAAAATATTTAAATAAATGGTATTCTATTATTGTTTAACAGCACGATTAATTAATTGCAATTAATTTTTTTAATCGCTTGACAGCCCTAATTTTTAATTGTTCAGTTAATGTCTTGTACAAAATTTCAGTTTGCCTCAATATAAAATAATCTCAGCATTTTGATATCTCAGTTAAGGATGTACAAAGAAAATCTAGAAAGGCAACTACAGAGCAAAGTGGCAGTGAGCTCAGACAGTTGTTTTCTGGTAACAATGCTGAAGGGTTTGCTCCTTGCATTGCTATTACTTCGCACTACCACTTTGCCCTTCCATATCACCTTTCCTCCGATTTTAAAGCCCTTTGTAAAATACTCTTGTAGACCACATAATACCCCTGTGAATAAAGAGGAGTTGTTATTATCGTGGCTGGGATTCCTATCCTCCAGTTGTGTCTCTCCTAAAGACATACTCACAACTACTGTTGCCTCAACAGGCGTAAGTACAATACATTAATACAGGAATAGCAGAAGCATGGCCTTCAATACAGAGCTGAGGCCTGCAAAGATTATCTTCCCCAAACACATGATACTCCCATCTTCACCAAGCAAAGGCTGCTTGAAGTAGACAGAGCAATGCTGGTACTCATGGTCTCTGCCGGCCTCAGCTCTGGATTCAAGATAAGAGTGGCTGCAAAATGCCCCATCTTCATACAAGCTAGATAAAAATCTCAGATTCTTGCAACCTGCCCACGTTACTCTTAGTAGGGCCAAGTTTTAAGAACATGCATTAAGAAATCCACTCCTTCCCCTCTCCATTTACTCACCTTGCACCCTCGCCACCACATCTGTCTTCGAAGCTGTTTGGATCGGTTGCTGAACGCTGTTGCATTGTCTGATAAACTTTCTGTATCACATGGAGAGAGAAAAGAATTAAAGGCACAGCAGCACGGGCACGTCCAGAAGCACAAGCACATCAGAAAAAAGGCCCCTGGTTCTGCAAATTCACTTATTTTTAAACTATAAACTAGGCAACCAGGGAATATACACAATTGCCAAGTGCTTCTGCATAATTATATTGAAATTCAGCATGCTGTGTTTCATCAACATGCTGAATTTCACTAGCAACACAGTAGAACTTTGCCAACACAATGACTAGGAGAACTATTATAAATGGGGAATGTATTTGACAAATTGTAAGTGAACAGACAAGAAAAAAATCAAGGCTACAGCAAGACAAAATGGTCTGTTAGTTTGCATAACTGTGGCAACACCGTAAGTATACCAGAAACTGTAAAACTAATGGAAATCAGCACAAGACTTGATTGTAGTGTTCTGCATTTACGCCTTTCTCCTGAAACACAAGGTGAAATTGCCAAGCGTTTAATGAGAATTGTTAGCTCTGCAGAATAGCAGAACAAGAATTAGTGAGGTTCCACAGTAACTTGTAAGGGTCCCAAATACATTATAACATATAAAGTCAAGTCTTTTATAAGTGGACCCTTCAGTTTAAAAACACAAAAGGCTGAAAGAGGGAGAATTACATTTAAGTTGAAATATCCAGTAGGACTGAAAAGAAAAAAAAAACCCAAAGTGTTGCCACAAGTGACCAGCTCAGGGCAGCAACAGATGACAGGTACAGAAATCTAGAAGGTATGTGAAGAGAACAGCCATGACAGGATGGAGACTTACCCCTATCTGGAAATGATACTAACTGGGGAGGTGTTGCAAACATCAGCGAGGTCAGAAAAACTATACAAAGGGACCTACAGAGGTTAAATATCTGGACAGCAAATAGAATGAAGTTTAAGCTGGCAAAATGCAAAGCCAATACATTGGGGGGATACTAATCTGAAATGCAGCTATTCCGGGGAGGGAGGTTCTCTTCCAACACTCCTGTCTTCCCAGAGAAAGGGTAGGGGCGAGAGCTGGTAAACAAGAACTTACAGTTCCAATTTAAGGGCCATGAAAGTCAATGCAGAGGCACCAAGGGCAGATTTACAAAAGGTATTTAGGCACCTAAATAACTTAATAAATCTGGCCCCAAGTCATGACCCAAATCGATAACAGTGTTTTTATATAGGGCTCTGCTGAGATCACATACGGAGCATAGCACACAGGCTGAATACCAGCAGGCTGCCAAGTCTTTACTCCTGGGGGAATTCTGCGCCACTGCACGTGTGCAGAATTCACATCTCCCCCCCCCCCCAGGTTTCTTTGTTTCCAAGAAGAAAAATGACTTTCTGACAGGGAAGCAAAGGGAAGCCACAAGAGCTGTCATGCGACCCTCCCAGGGTTTTGGGTGCCCACGGCAGCCAGCAGAGAGGTAAATCACTGTGGGGCAGGACTGGGGAAGGCCCTGCTGGTGGCTCCTATCCTGCGCCAGGCTCAGCTGCTAGTCCCAGTTGTGTGGGGGAGCATGGGACTTCCTCTTCCCCTGCACAGCATCCAGGGCCTGGTCAGACCCACCCCCAGATTTCTCCCCAGGCTGCAGGAAGCTCCACAAACTCCCTCCCTTCCACTCTGCTTCCTGTGCCGATCACTCCTCAGCTACAGGGAGAGGGATCACTATACAGGGAACTGCTCCCCCATCCACCCAACCCCCATGCATCCAGACCCACTCATACCAAGACCCTCCCTCTAAGCCTCAGCGCCCCAGAACCCCACCTGCTGAGCCCCCCCTGCACCTGGACCACCCCAATGAGTGACCCACACCCCCACCCCACAGAGCCACAACCAGCTACACCTGGATCCCCACCCCACTGAGCCCCACTCCCTCAGCATCTGGACCCCCCCCACAGAACTCCCCACACCCAGACCCTCCTGCTGAGCTCTATCCCTCCCACACACACACACCCCTGCTGAGCCCCAACCACCTTCACCTGGACCCCCCTGCAGAATCCCATTACCACTGTACCCAGAACCCCGCAACAAATCCTTGTGCCTCCAGATGCCCCCCCATACCCAAATCCCCCATTGAGCTGCCCACACCCAGACTGGCTCACAGAGAACTGTCACCCTACACCTGGATCCCCCCACACTAAAAGCCCCTCCACCCTTGGATCCTGCCTTTCTGAGCCTGCCTGCCTACACCTGGTACAGATGAGAATGGGCCCTGAGGTATTTCTGGGGCAGGCCCAGTCCTTGCAGTGTCAAGGTTGGGTGGAGCCTCACTGCTGAGTCCATGTCCCGGGGGGAGCTGCAGAGTGATCTTCCACCTCTGTGCAGCCAATGACCTATGCTCCACAATGCCATGCTAGAGCCTCTATATTTATTTGACAAATAAAATTTGCAGAATTTTAAAACACTGCGCACATAATTTTTTATTTTTTTGGCACAGAATGCTCTCAGGAGTAACAAGTGGAGGGAACATGAAGTGCAACTATCCCATGTAAGGGGATGGAAGGAGCAATGAAGGAGGAATATTTAGAGAACTATTCCTGGGCTTTTAAGAGATGAAGCCGGGGGAGGAAAATTATACGCGACAAGTTATAAGCACCAAGGGAAAGAAAATGTTTAGGGAGGCTCAAGGAAGTACAGGGATGAAAGTGGAAAAGGGGAGGCTTGGCTTCCCAACAGACAGTAAGATCAGCAGTCTCAGGCTGGAAACAGTCTCCTAATGGGAGTGGTGTATCCATGGAGACACTTCAAATAGAGCAGATTTGTCCGGATTAGTGGTAAATATGCCCAATGGCCTGTGATGGGACACTAGATAGGGTGGGACCTGAGTTACTACAGAGAATTCTTTCCTGGGTGTCTGGCTGGTGAGTCTTGCCCACATGCTCGGGGTTTAGCTGATCGCCATATTTGGGGTCGGGAAGGAATTTTCCTCCAGGGCAGAATGGCAGAGGCCCTGGGGGTTTTTCACCTTCCTCTGCAGCATGGGGCACGGGTCACTTGCTGGAGGATTCTCTGCACCCTGAAGTCTTTAAACCACGAGTTGAGGACTTCAATAGCTCAGACATAGGTTAGGGGTTTGTTACAGGAGTGTGTGGGTGAGATTCTGTGGCCTGCGTTGTGCCTTCTGACCTTAAAGTCTATGTAATTAGGATATTGTAGGAAACACTCCTGCCCTGGGCCCATGAGGAAATGTGCTTTAGCAGTCATCGTCTCTCTCTGATTTCTAGAATCTACTGTCATGAAATGGAATCAATCTAACACCACTCCCTGGCAGAGAGGGATGCAGTGTACAGCAAAATAGCCACAATCACCAGGGGAAAGAAGAGGACTTTCAATCCCTGCACTAAGGTTATTCACAGTGGTGTTTTAAAGCTGCCTAGAGGAGCATGCTGTTCCCCAGGACTCAACGTGAGGGAGAGGAGGCAGGAAGAGAGTTCTAGAATATTAAGTATTCCCACCTGATTTATCCTGTAAGTCATCCAGTCTCTCTCCCCTTTCAATCACCTTGGTGATGTTCTCCTGCATGACGTCAATGACTTCATCCACCTGGTTCTGGACACTAGAGGAAAGTAAAGCCATTAGAAATCACACAGGCCTAACAGTACCAGGTGTTATGAACTCTATATTCCAATACCAGTGCTTCGGCGAAAGCTGTTGGCACGGAAAGAATGAGCAGCAATTCACCAGTGATACAGACAAACCCAACAGCGGAAAGGTCATTGGGACATTTGAGAAAGTCTGTGGTGGGCAGGATTAGCCCTGTGTGTGATGCTGTCCCAGGAGATAGGGGGGCTCTCTCCATAGCACCATTTACTCTGCAACACTTTCTCATCCTCACCCCACGTTCAGGCCAACTGCCTGGAAAGTTGGAGCAATATGTTTATAGATGAGGCATAGTCTTGGTCCATGAACTCAAGGGTGATTTTACCCTGAGTAAGGATATTAGCACTCTGTTCTCAGAGGAAAAGGAAGGAGCTTTAATAGCATTTTATTGCTCTTGCAGTTCCTGCCATATTGTGCCGTTTGACTTTTCTAATCCAGCTTCAGATCTCTCAATGTCAAGAGTTTGAGCTAGAACCTCGCTCTGGTCTCCCTGCATTAGCCTCCAGGTCACCTTCAGGACTCGCTCCACACTGCAGAGGGGTATGA